TAAAATCCCCATGGTGGTGTGAACAGTGAGTGAGAAGAGGATTCCAAGTGTGTTGAAACCTTCCTTTCCCAAACCACGTGGGTGCCTCGGTTCCTGCAAAGGCGGGGCCAAGCATTTCCCTCGAGTGTGTGAGGGAAACGCTGGGTGTTGGAGTGACAGTGGGGTCTTGAGGTTTAAAAAAGAAAAATGAATATTTTCATTCATTAAAGCTTATATCTATTTTTCCCCCTTGGGATGTGTTTGGATGTGTGCGTCATTGTCAGAGCTTTCTCTCAAGTCCAGAGTAAAAAGGAAGAAATGGAGAACAATTTTTCCTTTGATTTTGGTGTTTTCAGTAACTGATCAAAGAGAAATGAGGATGGAGAAAATTCATGAAACAAAAAGTGTTCATTCACTTTCTTCTTGGCCGCAGTTGAGTGTTGTATGCAGTCAGCAAACTGAGTCAGAGTTGGTGATGGTTTTTAACTGATTCCATCAGCAAGATAAGGCTGTTACTTGTGCTTTAAATCTTTCTTGCCACGATTTGGTCCTGAAATGATAATGCCTGTGACATTTCACTAGAAGGGAACTAGAAATTCTGCCTTTGATAAGACTGGTGTGATTTGAGGAACTTTAATTGAAGCTTTACAAAAAAATAAATTGTCAACGGTAAGAAATAAACCCCCGCAAGTTTTACGTTGCCCCCAAAAAGGAAAAACAAATCTGCCCACTGAGGATCACTTTCTGTAGAGAATAATACTGACTTCTTAATGAAAAGAAAGTGACTCAGCTGGAGAGCTCTGCTAATGCCCCGGCTTTACCCAGAAGAGCTCCTGAAATAGGAGAATTACGTGTTTCCCTTTGAGGCTTCTGTGATATCCTTTGTGCTTTTTGACTCAGAAGGAGATGCACACATGTGACTGTAATCATACAGAGTTTACCAGTAGCTCGTTCTTGTCCAGCCGTGGGGACCTGTGAACTCGGTGCCTTGCCTGGGACTCTGGCCGACATGGTCTGTCCCTCGGGTCGGCGAGCCCACTGGGAGAGCTGGGCCCCCAGTGTTGTTTCAGGCAGAACGTTAGATGTGGGCTTGGCGGTGGCAGTTCCCAGAGCCCCTCTGTCTACTTTTCTTTCTCCTGACTCTGTTTGGTGAGAAGGGTCCAGCAGCCATCCTGACCCTGGCAGCATGAGGATGTCACCGGAGACACGTGCTCCTCACCTGGGGGCAGAGGGGCCCCCAGGAAATGAGGACACTTGGGGAGGTCAGGATTAGTGTACACAGAGGGGTCAGCGGGGACAGGGCTGCCCTAGAAGCCTGGGTCGTGAACGCTCTGCCTTTGTCTCTTCCAAACCACACCCCCGTTTCTCCATTTTTTGATTAAATGCTGTTTCTTTAATTCCCTGTCCACGTCTTTAAATGGACAGCCTGGGAGGTGTTTGATTCTTTCTCCTCTAATCTCTTTCTTGCACAGCTTCACCCAGAAATACCCGCCAGTCAAGTTTTTATCAGAAAAGGACCGCAAAAGAATTTTGGTAAGTTTGCACATCTGATTCATGTTTGTAATGTCAAGAAATTTGCTTTTTAAGTATAGGTATAATTCACAACCCATAAAAGTCACCCTTACAAAGCGTACGGCTCAATGCCACCGAGTCCTGCAACGGCAGCACATCCAGATTCCAGAACAGTTCATCACCCTCCAAAGGAGACCCTGAGCCCAGGAGCAGTCACTCTGCTGTCCCCCAGCCCCTCTGCCCCTACGCGGCCACGAATTTACTGTCTGTCTTGAGGCACTTGCCACCTAGCATGGTTTTTTAAAAAAAATCTTTTTAATGGAGGTACTGCGCTTGAACCCACGTGGGATGGTCTTCCTGCTGAGCTTAGTCCCCATCACACGTACCCACGACGCATGGGCTCAGCGTTTTCACGCATCCTTCGTCTCAAAGGTTAAGCCACATTTCAGAGTCATCTGGTGCCCAAGGCTGGCTTATTGTTGCTAAAACTTAAAGCCTTTTCAGGAATTGTTGAAGACTTAGCACAAAGAGAAAGTTTTTTCCAAAAGACATCCTTTTTTTTTCCCCCCTGATTGGCTGAGCAGCACAGGTCTGCACAGTGGCCTGAGCCAGACCCCAGCAGGTCAGCTGCCTGTTCGCCTGCACAAGGAAGCAGCGCCTGGGGTGAGGGCGGGGACTGCAGACCTGAGCCGGGCAAGGCCTGATCCATTCGTGCACGAGGCCCGCACCCCCTTGCCCCACATCCCCTTGCCCCGCGTCCCCTCGCCCCGCGTCCCCTCACCCCGCCGTCCTCTGGGTGTCTCTCCGGTCACTGAGGGGTTGGCCTGGGCCTGGCGATGACTTAACCTTTGTGGTTCTGTTCGAAATGCTTGCATCAAGGGATGAACCTGAGTAGGAGACACACTGTATAACCACCCAGCTTTGTGACAGAAATCTGAAGTATTTTAGATAGAAAGCAATGATCAAGAAAAAAAGTTTTAGTCTATTTTTTAAAAAGGCAAAGGTGCTTCGAGCAATTCTGCGTCTCTCCTAAGACTTAGAGGAGTGTTGCAGCTTCGTGTGTAATTTAACGCCCTACATTTCGGCTGGGTGTCCCGGCCGTCCCCTAGTTATTTTAGGTGCAGAGATAACGTTAGTGTGGACAGAACGTCTTATTTTAGGAAACATTTGCCTCTGGGTGTAGAGTTACATTAAAAGGGGTTAAATTTCTTTTAAAAAGGTGTCATTTTTCTGATTTAAAATCTGTGGGAAAATACAATAAAAGGTAGGTAAGATAAAATGAAATTTCACCCCATGTGTGAAGCCCAGATCTGGAAATCCATTTCTCTTTCCAGAAAGGTATTTTTTCAAATCGTTGTCGAGGTGCACAGATAAACAGCAGGCGTGCTGACGATGAAACAGGCACCGGACAGGTGGACGGGATGGGTGGCGGGGAGAAGGTGAAATTAGCAGCCTGGGCTGACTCTGCCATCCCAGGGATCTGGGCTGTTGGCCCAGCACCCACCCCCTCGGGTGTGCGTTCTCACCTCTCACGCCCAGGGGACCTAGAAGACCGTGCTCTTGGTGCAGCGCGGACCCAATGGAGGGCACTGGGGCCCCGGGCTTTACAGCCAAGCCAGTTCTGAGCCTCTGCATTCGTGCGGTCATCAGAGCACACGTTTCTGGCTGGTGGTGGGTGGTGGTTCCTCTCGGGCTGGTGTCACACCCCCGCCCCAGATCTGCCTTCCCCACCCCAGCAGCTCTGACCTCACCAGCTCACACCCGGGGATTACGGGTCAGATTGTGTGTGAACAGAGGGCTTCATGGCAGATTCAGTGTTTTAAAGCCATAGACCTCGAGGTTAATGTACTTTTTACTTAGATAAAAAAAATGGGTGTTTTTCCTACTGTTAATCCTTTTGGTTTGAAACAGGAGGATGCCGTGGATGAGGGAGTGGATGGAGGCGAAGACAGAGGACAGGACAGGGCAGAGAACGTAGTTGCACGTGTGTCTTCTGGGCTTACTCTTTTCCTGCCCACCCTCCAAAAATGAAATCCATTTTACCTGGTTCTCTCCACTGACACGATTTAGTTTGAATGAAGTCTTTTTATTCGTTTAATGTTTTTCTTCAATCATAGTTGCCTTTACACGTTTGCTGTGGTTTAAGTTTTAGAAGCACGTCATTGCTGAACTCCTGCCCCTCGTGGGCCCTCGGAGCTGCCCCCTTTCTCTGGCTGGGGCGGCGACACCATGTGACCGAGCTGTGGGACTTACTCTTTTGGGCTTTGGTCTGCGGACAGCATCTACTGCATATTAACTTGTTCTCATAGACAATTTGAAAGATAACTAGTGTTTTTATTAATTGGGTTTTTGAGTCTAATTTAATTGTCACAGACTTTTTTTAGTAGCTCGCCAGATCGATGCATGTCGTGAATCACCTTTTGGAAAAGTGATCCTCACACTTGCAGGAGTCGCTTTAGAACCATGTACATGGTGCTCAGCATCCCGTCCGCTGTAAAACCAGGACCTTTTTGTAGTAAAATTCTCCAGCAGAGAACACATGTTGAAACCTGTAACTGCTGTTTCTTCCCTGTGTTCCTTCCTGAGCAATAGTTTAGGTTTTTAGGCTGCTTGGACATTTCCGATGGCACGACTCCCTGCCCTGGAGTCAGATAAGACGCTCCCTGGACCTCTGCCCGCCTCCTGCCCATCCCCTTTGCCCCGAGGTGGCCGTGCGGGGGTGTGTCCCCGTGGTCGGTGGCCCCCACACTGCCCCAGCCATCGGGGCGCATCTCACGCTCTGTCCTCACGCAGATCACCGGGGGCGCAGGCTTCGTGGGCTCCCACCTCGCGGACAAGCTGATGATGGACGGCCACGAGGTGACCGTGGTGGACAACTTCTTCACGGGCAGAAAGAGGAACGTGGAGCACTGGATTGGCCACGAGAACTTTGAGCTCATCAACCACGACGTGGTGGAGCCACTGTACATTGAGGGTGAGCCCGGGGCTGGCGGGCGGGCCGGTGGGGCCGGGGCGCCTCCTTCCCGACTGGCGAAGCGCTTTGACCCCGGCTCCACTGCGGACGTGACAAAAAATCAGCAGGAAGGTGTAAACACGCTGTGTGCTTTTACTCAGACTTCCCGTCTGGCGGGAGGTACTGCTCAACTTCCTGACGGATCCTGAGCAGTCACTGTGGACGATGTCACGCTGGTCAGGCCTGACCATTTTCCCTTCTGTGTTTATACATTGTGTGTGTGGACTCATCTTAAGCACCTGTAGGAAGTTGGTTTGAGGTTCGACCACTGGGTTTTGAGAGTTCCTGGGGGGGCCGGCGTGTCCCAGCTACCTCCGCCTGCCCTCTTCCCAACATAAAAATAACCGGCCTGCCTTCTGCCAGTTACATGGAAAAGGAAGACACTGGTTCACGTCCCCACGTCATCCCTCCTCGATCACCGATCTGAGGTCTTTCTGCCTCATTTGCCGAGGCTGCCGGCTCTCCAGCTGCGGCTCCCATGCTGCCCGGCCTCGGGCGGGGCCGGGGTCATGGGAGGGCCACACGCACGGGCATCCCATCCTTTCGTTTCTGCTCGGCTCCTCATCTCCCTGCCCCCAGCTTAGATTTTTGACCGTCCTGCTCGTTTCTGGTGCAGTTTGTGGTGCCAGCGTCGGGCTGGGAGGGTCGCTCAGGCGCTGTTACTAATGGCTCCTTGTCTCGCTCAGCCCGTCTCGGCAGTGATGCGCGCTTGTTCCGAAGTTTCCGCCACTCTCCCCTGGGAAGTCCCTTACAGGAGACTCCGTCAGCGACTGGCCCTGTGTCCTTGTGAGGACGGGGCCTGGAGTTCCGGTCCCAGGCAGCACGCGTCCTCCTGGGAGAGGAGTGGCGGTTTTGACTGGGCTGCTTGATGCATTTCTGCTCGTCTGTAGGAGCTGTGAGTGTGTTCTGGATACACGGGTGCGATGTGTGGTTTGCAGGTGTTTTCCTGTGCCATCTGCCGCCTTTTTATCCTGTGGAGTATGCCCTTTGGCACTGGCAGAAAAGTTAAGTTTGATGTGGTCCCATGTGCCCGCTTTTGCTTCTGGTACCTTTGCTTCTGGTGTCAGATCCAAGAAATCAGTGCCAAGTTCAGCGTCATGCAGGGTTTCCCCGTTGGCTTCCCGGAGTGTTACCATTTTAGGGCTCACATTTTGGTTCTTAGTCCATTTTGGGCTCGTGTGTGTGTAAGAAAGGGCCCAGCTCCGCCTGGTAGCACGTGGACGCCCCGTTCTCCCAGCACCATTTGTTAGGGAGACCATCCTTCCTCTGCTGAGTGGTTCGGCACCTTGCCTGTCGGAGACCCTGCGGTTGGACACAGAGGCTGCAGTTGTGGGCTCTCTTCTCTCCCTGCGGTCTCTCTGTCTCTGCGCCTGCACCGCGCTGTTTTGATCACTGTGAGCTGTGTGGTATGTTCTGAAATCAGGAAATGTGAGCCCCCCAGCTTTGTTCTTTTTCAAAATTGTTTTGGCTGTTCGGACTCCCTTGAGATTCCCTATGAATTTGGGGATGAAATGTGTTCTGTTTCTGCAAAAAATTGAGATTGTGATAGAGATGGTGTTACAGAAGTACTGTTTTTTTAAACTAAGAATATTTGAAAAAAGAAGTCACATGAGGAGCCTGTGGGAATAGCCTTCGCGAGGCAGGAAGCCTCCTAAACACCCAGGACACGGGCCTGCGGCCGCCCTGCTGCAGCCCTGGGGCGGGTAGTTACCAGTTACTCCGCGAGCTGTCAGCGCCTCGAACCCCTGCCCGAAGCCACTGCCCCCATGGAACCATCAGTGCCCCTCCCCGGTCCTGGTGGCTCACGTGTCCTCTGCCCCCTTGACGTCCTCGGGCTTGAAAGAACCGATCGTTAGGGTGGGTAAGTGGGGACCAAGCCCGCCGCCCAGTGTCCGGGCTCTCCTCGTCTGAGGAAGAGACGGTTCCACCACCACCCACCCTGACTAGGGTGAGCCCGGAAACAGTCCAGATCTCGGGGGCACCACGGGGATCCCCATGCCACCCCAGGGGTGACAGAAGACTTTGAGGGGGACGGCGGAGTGTGGTGTGGGTGGGAGGTTGGGCCCTCTGCTGAGGGGCTGTTTCCTGAGGAAGCTCTCCTGGGGAATTCATCCTCTTTGTTTCCGAGTTCTCCTGTTCTGCCATCATTTCTGGAACGTCTCCCCAAAGGGGCCGTTACCTCAACGGAGGGCAGTGGTCCTGGTGGGAGGTGGTTGGGAGGTGAGGGTGGAGGTCCCGCTGGTGCTGGTGTGGGGGGCAAGGCCATGTGGGGGACGATCACACTGGCAGAGCTATCTGGGACCCTGGTCCCGGCTGCCCTGCGATGGTGGGGGTTTTCCTCGGCCGCTGTGAGGTGGGCGGCACTTGTGTGTCACAGGGCTGGCTCCCCATTCCTGCTGTGGCCACTGCTGCCTCCCAGGAAGATAGGCCCCCAGCCTCTGCTCGCAGCAGGTGGCAGGGGTCCCCTGAGCCTGGGAGCGAGGGTCATGGGCTGGGATGTTAAAGCAGTTACCTCTGCATGAGGTGGGTCTTGCGGAGTCCAGGCTGTTTCTCCATCCGTGGATTTAAAAGCCCCCTTGGACTGTCCCCTCCTTTGTCTGGGTGTTGTGTGGTGCACAGACCAGAGAAAAGGCTCTCTCCTCCAGCTCCTTGGTGCCTTTGTGTCAGATTTGTTTTATAAACTTAAAATGTCGTTTTATATTCACATTTAACTCTGTCTGAAACAGCGTCCCTCTTCTGACCTGAATGCTTTCTTTACGTGGAACAGATTATCTTAGCTCACTAACCAGACCCATTCTGATTGGAGGAGGACTGGCCCCTTCCCCGCCCAGCGCGCGTCTGTCCAGATAATGAGACTTTCTGTTTTTGTCCGACGTTCTTCCAATCGCAGATGTAAACTAGAATTTCAGGGAAAGATACGGGGACGCCATTGTTACGCGGCCCGATTCTCGGAGCTCAGAGTTCTCAGTGTCCCCGGAGCTAACAGGCCTCGTTTGCCCCCTGCAGTGGACCAGATATACCACCTGGCGTCCCCGGCCTCGCCCCCGAACTACATGTACAACCCCATCAAGACGCTGAAGACCAACACCATCGGGACCCTGAACATGCTGGGTGAGTCGGCCAAGCCTCATCCCACAGCTGCCGCCGATGGTCCCACTCCACTGACCTTGGTCCTCAGACCCTTGCTCATCCCTGTCCCTGCTCTCGTGACTTGATTTGCCATCAGAACTTGTCACGGGGTGGGGTGGCCTCAGTTCCTCCCCCCGGGAGTGGCCACCTGGCTTCCAAGTGACCACCTGTCCCCCTGCCCTTCCCCCCACACGTGGCGCTTGTGCCTGGCGGCTGGAACTAAGCACACGGGGTTTCGGGGTGCCCCCGGGGGCACGGGGCGGGCCCACCTCGTGGGGTTGTGGGAGCTGGGCTCCAGCCCCGTACGGACTGCAGGGCCCGCCCTGGCCCTGAAGGACAGGGGTGCCCACATGCGTGCCTCCACTGACAACAATGCCTTAGATCCAGAGTGTGGGGGTGCGCATGTACTGAGGACTGAATTAGAGGCGTGCTCAAGTTCCCACAGGTTTAGAAAAACTGAGGGTTTTGATTAGTTGCAAAGTGGAAGGAAGGAGCCACTTCTTTAAATGTCAAGTGAAAGTGGATTTGATTATACGGCATTTGAATCGGGGTCTGTAAATGGATTCGGAAAGCACAGGTCTGCGTTTTAACTGGAGTGAAGAGGGAACAGGATCTGAAAGGGCAGTGGAGGTGGGGGTTCGGTCTCAGACTCCACGTGTGGGGGTCCAGATGTGTGTGAAGGAAGGAAGGGCAGTTCTTCTGGTCCAGAGAGGCGTCTGTCCCCCCCGTCACGGCCCTGCCTGGTCACCAGACAGAGCAGAGCCCCAAGTCCTCACCCAGGTATGCGGGGCTGGACACCCCGGTGTCTGGCATCATGAGCACCTGTCCCCTCCCCGCTCTCTGCACCCCACCCCATGTCCCCCGCCAGAGCTGGACGTGGTGGAGGAGCAGGCAGCCCTCGAATGGTGTTTAGAAAGACGACCTTCGTTCCAGCCCTTAGATGATGCTCCACCCCGTCCGACCTGGGAGAGTCAGGGAGGATTACTCTCAGGGACTTGGTGACCGACCGAGGAGCGTGGGAAGTTCCCAGAGTGGGTGCCCTGAAATGCCATTAGAGCTCTGGGCAGGGGCCTGGGAGCCTGGACTGCACCCGTGGGTGAGGTGGGGTCTGGCGGTGTTGAAGAGCGGGAACCAGTCTTCAGGGACAACACGGCTGAGGGCTCGGCTGGAAAGAGAACTGCTGGGACCAGGAGCAGCTGTCCTTAGCCTCTCACACTTGGACAGATGCTCTGAGCCTGGTGGGGCCCCTCCCCATCTACGGTGTCACCAGCCCTGTCTGGAGTGTGGCTGCTTCGTGGTGAAAACTTGTCCAGTCTCGCTGCGAACACCTGGGCGCAGCCTCACCCTGGAGGGACCCTCGTGGTGACGGGGTTTCTGCGCCTGTGCCCCTGTTGGCATCCTGGCTGCAATGCCGGGCTGTGGTTCTGCACGTCTTCACCTTTGGGGGAAGTGGGCTAAGGGTGCTGGGGTCTCTGGTAGTTTCTCACAACCACCCATGAATCCGCACTTCTCTCACATGAAAAGTTAATTAAGGAAAGACCTCGGGATTCTTCGTTGGCCCCGTGGTCTCCGTGCGGCAGTGGGGTCTGGAGATGCACCTGGCCGGCTTCTGTGGGGCAGAGGCCGCGCGAGGAGGACGGGCCCACGATTGCCACCTCCGGCCGCGTCCCTTTGGCCGTTTTCTTCCCCAAGCTCCTGGTGGTGTCTGCAGGGTGTCTCCACCTGCTTCCCTCCTCCGCGCTGCTCTCCTCGCCAGGCATCTTCCCGCCCCCCTCCCCGCCCTCCCCCGTGTGCTCTGCACACGCACACCCGGTCCCCTCAGCCCCACCCAACCTGTGCGCCCCTTGGCTCTCCCTCCTCAGCCCGCGTGGGACCTGCACCCTGTGCAGAGCTGCGTGGACAGCATGGCAGCTGACCCTTCACCTGATGGCTTCTGTGCACAGAGGCCCTGTCGGGGGTCACTTGGAGGCAGTGGGTTTCTCTGGTGCAGGGCCTCCTGTGACTGGGACTGTGACAGTGATGGGGATGCCCGAGCACCCCAGGTGCTGCTGCTCCATTCTGCATGCTGGGGGCACAGGCTGGGAGGGGCCGGACCGGGCAGAGGCTGTGGCCAGTTGCTTTAGAGAAGGTTCTCGGAAGCTGGACCTCCAAGGAGTGGGAGTGGGTGGGATGGAGGTGCCCAGAGACACTGGGTTGGGCACTTGGAGGTGCTGGGGGCGTTGGGGGGGCGGGAGCAGGAGGCTGGCCGCTGTGGGGACAGTGGGGTTAAGGTTCGAAGGGCTTTGCCTTCTGCCTGTGGGGGGAATTACCCCATGGAGTACCAGGTGGTATGTTTGGGCGAAGGAATCCTCACCAGACCCAGGTCAGGCCTGGGACCGCACTGGGCCCCGCTGAGTTACACGCGCACAGCCAAGCACAGTGCTCTGGGGCTCGGTTGTGTTTTCTTCACTGTTTCTGTTGTAACGTTGGCTCCAAAGTAGAGGTGGAGACGCATGGGTGCTCAGATGCCGTCGACACTAAGAACCTGCCTAAATTGGCCGCAGAAACGAGCGTGTGTCCCTGTTCCCTTAACTGACGGTGTCCCGTGCTGTCTTTGCTCCCCGCAGGGCTGGCGAAACGAGTCGGTGCGCGGCTGCTCCTGGCCTCCACCTCGGAGGTGTACGGAGGTGAGTGGGACGTCGCTGTGGCCCCACTGGACGGTCACGTCCTGTCGTGGGGGGAGGGGACCCGCACTCCGGACTCTGCTCTGCTTTGCACGCTTGTAACCAAAGCCCAGCAGGTGCGCCCGCGGCTCTCGGAGCAGGTGGTCGGGGGGCCCCACGTCCCTGTCCTTCCTGTAACCAGACCCCGCAGAGGCTTGGCCAGTGGCCCCGGTGGCCCTTTGCTTCTCCGTGTCACAGAAGCAGCGGTGCCAGCGCCACCCAGGCTGCGTCCTTTAACTGACCCAGGCGAGGTGGGCGCATGGCCGGCCCAGGGGCCCCTGGTCTTTTCCACATCCACCCCTCCCTCACTCATCACCCCGTCTCTGATCGCAGCCTGAGGTCTTTGGAGCTGTGGATGCCCCGAGGGTGGGGCTTGCTGGGCCCCGCATGTCGGGTGTGCCTGACGGCAGTGCTGCAGGAACCCACCGTCCACAATCCCACACCTGGTCCTCCCCCACACCTCCCCCCGCACTGCCCCTGTGCTGCAGGGGAGGGGCTGACTCCACTCCAAGTCGGGTGTCCTCCACACCTTTACTCTCTGTCAGAGCAGAGTGACTCTGTGAGGACTTGAAATCTGTCACACCCTGTCATTTTAGCCCAGACGGGCCAGTTGAGGGGTGATGCCCCCCCCCAGTCCTTGCCTACACTATGGCCGTCTCTCTTGGAGCCCAGCTTGCCCCGCCTCACCAGAAATCCCCAGAAAAGGCCTCCCCTCATCCGCACATCCGTGTGGACCCCCGTCACTGGCTTCTCCTCTCGGGGAGCGTCTGTCCCAGAGCTTCCCGCACGAGGAACAAAGTGGGAAGCCACAGAGACTGGGTGTGCGGTGGAGGGGGTGCCGGCCGCCTGCGGGGAGGGGTGGCCCGGGCACACGCGGTCCTGTCCTGTCCGTCCCCACACTCCCTGCCGTGCCCCTGGGCTTCTGCTGCAACCTGAGCAAGAAGTGAACTCTGATGTGGAGCTCCTGACCTTTATCCAGACTTCCCGGCAGAGATTTACACATTTTAGAGCCGAGTCATATCCCATCCCTGCTGCACCAGATAAATTAGGTGCTAATTCAGGTTCCAGAAATCTGCTTGGGTTAGAAAAGAATCCATTACTTGGTTTCTTAAATAATCTGTTCCTCCAGTATATCTTAAAGTGGGATTGATTTATACACCAGAAAACCAGGGACTGGGAAACCCAGAGTGCAGGCTGGAGGCACAAGTCACGTGCATCGGGCGCTGGTCCTTGGACGACCAGGGCCGCCAGCCTCCCGGGCCTCAGGTCTGCTCTGGGGGCAGCTCAGGGGAAAGCCGTCGTGATCCAGAGGGAGGCTCTTAAAGTGTTTTCAATAAATACAGCCTTACAAGTTACTTATTTTGTCACTGTGAATTTGGACCATATGTCTTTTTACAGAGATACTTATTTTAGTTTGTACAATGATCTGAAAGTTCAGAACAGTTTACGTGAGAGAGGAGAGGCTTAACACTGATATCTTGGTTAAATTTTTTTCCCTGTAAAAACGCTGTCGTCACTTAATACAAGAGGTAAGACAGCCACGCCCCACTGGACTAGAGACACGCTCAGGAGCGGGGAGGTCTCTCCCGGGCAGACGTTTGCCCTCCCCAGGCCCCTACTCACATCGTAAGAACTGTCCGCTGTGCACGTGGACCTGAAAGCAGAGAAATCCTGAAGCCGCCTCCCTGTCCCCCGCTGCAGATCCGGAGGTGCACCCCCAGAGCGAGGACTACTGGGGCCACGTGAACCCAATAGGGCCCCGCGCCTGCTATGACGAGGGCAAGCGGGTGGCGGAGACCATGTGCTACGCCTACATGAAGCAGGTACTGGCGGGCGGGCCCAGGCTCGCAGTGTAGACCCAGCTGTTCCGGGGGACCCGGGCGGGAGGGAAGCCCAGCGCCCCAGGACCATGAGTCAGCCATGCGTCCGTAACTTTCCCCACCCATCTCCGGGTCTGTAAGATGACTTCCGGGCTGGCTTCCTAGGCGTGGACACCAGGCATGGCTGTGACAGTGACCTGTTCCTGCCTGGTTGCCCACTGGCAAGTTCATAAGTGCCTCCCTTTTCCCAGTGCCTCCAAATTGTGCACTTTTTTCTTTTACTTTCCTTTCAGTTACCTAACGGGCATAAGAATGAGTTCACTTCTGCTTTAACACAGGCCTCTGCAGGGATTATCTGTATCCACCTGCTCTGGTTCTCAGCTTCCTAAGTCCTTGCCGCACTGGGGCTTCCCTGGGAGTTTTCCACTCAGGACAGAAGAGCTCTGTCATTTGGACCAAGGAGCAGAGTTTTCCTACCTGCACCTGTGCGAGCCGGGGGCCGCGGCCCCAGAGGCACAGGGTCACCCCCATCTCTGTTGCAGGAGGGCGTGGAGGTGCGCGTGGCCCGGATCTTCAACACCTTCGGGCCCCGCATGCACATGAACGACGGGCGGGTCGTCAGCAACTTCATCCTGCAGGCACTGCAGGGGGAGCCACTCACGGTCGGTGCTGGGACTCTGCTCGGGGGCGAGGGAGGGGCGGGCATCTGATGGGGTGTCAATCCTGAACTCTTACCTCCCCGCTGCCCAGCTAGGGGACAGCACGTGGAGGGAGCACACAGGGCAGGGACCATGGATGGTCACCTGGCTCCCTGGGCCACAGACTCCCCTGGCACTGGGGATCAGAATCTGCCCGCACAGACCTGCACATGTTCCTGGCCCGTGGCTGTAGCCAGGCACCCCCATCCCCAGGGTTTAAAGGCCTCTATCCTCAGTTTCGGGACCTGACTGTCGGTTTCCCCTCAGGTATACGGATCCGGGTCGCAGACGCGGGCCTTCCAATACGTCAGGTAAGATGCTCAGGGCGGCATGGACCCCACGTGGGTCACCTGTTCCTTATCCTCCCAGCTCCGAGCTTGCCGCCCCGCTGGGTTGAAGGTTAACGCAGGTCGTCACACAGGAAGCCCCTCAGTTCTCTGTTTAAAAGTTACACTTGACCGGCTCGTCTGTTACTTTGCATTGGACTTTGTGGTTGGAGGTCAGATGTGCTGGGCCCTGCTGCCACCTGGCGTCTCACAGGTAAACTGGCCAGCCGGAAGGCCACCGGTGGCTTCAGTCCAGGCCTCAGGCTCCCAGCACACCTACGGCCCCACCTGCAACACACCTACACCTGCACGGCTTTCTGGGGTGATGAGGTTGTCCTCATAAAGGGGGGATGAGATCGAATGTCCTAATGTCGGGTTTTGTGTTGAAACCAGATGCAGACAAAAAAGTGGATTTAAGGACTTAGTTGAACAGCGTCACGTGCTGACACTTACAGTTCTCTTGGTCGCCCTCGTAAGCCTGGCTTTTGGTCGGCCAGTTCAGTTGGCGGCTGGTTGTAAAGTGCAGTTTGGGTTCTGGGGGAAGAGCTATTATACAAGCAGGCACACCTGCCGAGCTCACTTCCCCACGTGGCGTGGTTAGTGTGACTTCTGGGTACGCTCGTGGTTTCCTGAATCTCTGTAAAATCTAATTGTGTTTTGCCTCCAGTGGTTTTCACTTTTCACTGCAACTGCCCTGGAACCCCCGTCACTCAGAAAATACTGTTCCTGGCACCTGGCAGCCACCCCAGGGGGGCTGTCGGGTGAAGTGGTGGCAGGTCAGGGTGGCCCCCAGCCCCCTTGGCCCGAGTGACTGCTTCTGGTCATGGGGAGGGTCCCGGGAAGACGTCTCCTTGAGATGTGGGGCTACTGGTTCAGAAAACAAAACAAAACAAAAAACCCACAACCACTTTTTTGCTAGTCATTAAAATCTTTTAAGCTTGGATGCCAGGATGTGCCCTGTTGCCTGGCCCATGCGGTTCACACGTTGTCACCAATGCAGACGCCAGCGTCCAACCTGGAAGGACCGCAGTCGGGTCACTAGAAATGTGGCCAATGACCCTCCCTTCACGAAGCTGCACCGGCCGATGGCCTCATGTCTGTTGTGAGCTCAGGCTCCCCTGACTTCACCCAGCTCGGGGAGAGAGCTTTCCCGGCCTCCACTCCAGTCACTCGGGGCTTGGCTGAGAGAGTTAACTTACCAGAGTTTGGCTATTTTAAATAAGCCATTTTATAGAAACTGAGACTCTTACTTCACAGTTAAAATGCACAATGTCTGTAGTTACTGAACTAAATGACCTGCTTCCAAAACCCACAATTGCCCTGAAACAGCATCTCACGGTCTCCGGGGGACTCAGCCATGGTCCTGGGTGACACGTCACACGACACATGGCCTGACGGTGTTCGGTGTGTCCGTGCTCAGGTTACACCCTCACCCTTGTAACGATGGCATGCCGTGTTGTCTTAAAAAGCCACTTGTGCAGTTTGGACCTTAAAAGTGGCCAGTTTATTGCATAAGAGGCAATGATGAATCTCCCCCGAGGACAGTGGCCTGAGAGTCCATCATCCTCCAGCTTAAGGTAGACCCCTCCCCCCATTTCAGGATTAAAACCCACACGGATGCTACTGAGCGGCAGCTTTTAAAGTCTCTTCCAGATCCACAGAGACGTCCACTGTGGGGGCCTTGCTGCCTTAGTGTGAAGTGACTTTTTGCTGGTTTCTAGAAGAGAGGAGTCATCCAGAGCCAGCGGTTATTTGCATCTGTGCTTGGTCCGTGAGGACGGAATTAACGTAGGCGCCTTCATATAAAACACACGTGTTGTAAACAAAATCCCAGAAGCTCGTTTGTTTGCTAAACAGCCCACCAAGAAAGTTCTCTTTTTCAATGACAAGGAAAGCCCAAACCAAGGTTTTCTTTTGGAGGGTTAGCCTAGGAACCCGCTCCTGGCTGGAGACGGCGGAGGCGGAGGGAGGCGTGCCGGGCCGACTGCGCTGGGAGCGGGGCCTCAGTCTCGTCAGAAGCCCAGGCAGGGAAGGCAGACGGCGCTGGCCCAGCGGGGAGGTGTCATTTTTACGAAGTACCTTTTTCTTGACAGAACCACACTCTAAAGCTTCTGAGAATAAGAACCAGACCTTGGCAAGCGCAAGTTTGCTTCCGCACCGCCACCGTCATGGCCCGGGCTCTCACGATGTGCACGCCACATCCAGATGCCCCCGACTGTCCCCTAGGGTGCGGGGCGGGGTCTGGGGGTTGGTGAGCCGAGGGTCCAGGGAGTTTCTCTCAGGATCGCTTGGCTTTGTCTGTGACTTACCAGTGTGGGGATTCCATACTGGAGTTCCTTCAGTTCAGGGGAGGAGTCTTACATGAAAAAAAAAATCGTTTGCTCTTCCTTACAGGCCAACTTCTGGGTTCACATTCAACATGGACATTCATCAGAAACTTGCAGAAATGCCACCTTTGGGGGGGGGTGTCTGCTTTAATTTACTTTTACTGTTTAGTTGCTGAAGGATTTCAGAAACACACAAAGTGGGACCTCCGCCCCGCCACCCAGCTGCCGTCCGGCGCGGTAACTGCACCCACCACGGAAGGCAAAGCGCAGACGCCGCGCCGTCCCCCCATGAGCCCTGAGCGCCCTCCACGCCACCCTCTTGTTTGCAGGACTTTCTTTTGACGCCCAGGCTCCCATGTGGGCTTTGGTTTCCTTCTGGGAGGTGGCCCGTGTCGGACGCGCCTGACCCGGCCCCTTCTCTTCCAGTGACCTGGTGAACGGCCTGGTGGCCCTCATGAACAGCAATGTCAGCAGCCCGGTCAACCTGGTGAGTCCGCCCCCAGCCGGCCCCGTCCTTGCTGGAGCCCTGGGGTCTGTTCCGGGTCCTCTCCTCAGCCACCAACCCCCACTGCAAGGGGCTCCGCTTCACGGGGGTGCCCCCTACCCTTGGCTCATTTCTTTAACCCACTTCCCTCGGAAACCTTTCCTTGTCCTTTTTTTCGTAACCGGTCACTTTAGACACATTCTCCTCCCACTGGGTTGGGAGGAGACCCTGCCGAAGGCAAAGGGAGGGCCCCGGAGAGGCCACTCCCGGTGGGGCTGCGACCAGCTGTGGGTGTTGGTGGCCGCAAGCACCCAGCCAGCACCGTTTTCATGCAAGAAATGGGCAACTGGAAGTAAAACAGCATAAGACGTGTTTTGTGAGCCTCCGCCCATCCCGAGCGCCCACCTCCTGACACCTGGGGGGCCGGGCCACCCTGAACCGTGTTTCCTCTTCACCCTCCTGCAAGTGGGCGTCTCGTCAGCAGCCTCCTGACCACTCTCTGCTGTGAAAGCTGTGTCCTTCTTGCCTCCTTGTGGGGGGCTTTTGCACAGGGACACGTGGGAGCCTCCATCTCCTGTAGGAACCTGTCTTCCCTAAAGTCTGAGGGTGTCTGCCAGTAACCCCAGCAAAGAGGGCGCTCCTCCCAGCCCCTCAGACCGCAGCCAGTCCGCCCCTTCTCGGTGCTCCCAGTCGGGCCCCGAGTCCCTTCCTGCCCCGTTCCCCCCCCCCCCCCGGCTTCAGACGAGACTGGGAGCTGGGAAGGCGGGTACTGAGGACGTGTAGTTGCCAGACTTCACGGTGGCCTCACGCAGGGAGAAGCAGGATTGGGGAGGGAGGGCGGAGGCTGCTGCTGCGTGTGGTGGGGAGGAGCGTGAGGGGGAAGGCGGTTTTATTAAAGCCCCCCCGTGCCCCCCATCAGCTCCCTCGTAACCACACCCTGTCTTTCCCTCCAGCCACCCGGAGCCACATCTGAGTGTACTTTGTTTCTGTCGGGGAGCGTCCCAGCTCACCATCTTTGTCACTGAGATGGTGGCTCGGTGTCCGCAGGAGAGAGTCCTGGGAGAGCTGGTCATGCAGAACCAGACTGTCACCAGAGTGACACCACAGTTACCATAACCTTGCATCTGGAAGTTGTCCTGTGTCCGGGCCTGGGGATGTGTGTCCAGTGGATGCTCCTGACCTGGCCCAAGGGCATCGGACAGCAGGCAGCCTGGAGGACAAGGCGGAGGGAGCCCCCACCCGGCTGAGCCACCGCTGCCTTCACGGCCGAGGCCCCGGGGAAACGGACGAGGCCGGAGTCCGGGGCCTCTCAGCCTGCGGGGTGGAGCTGCCCCCAGTGCGCGTCTCACCAGAGATCTCTTCTTCCTTAGGGGAACCCCGAGGAACACACAATCCTAGAATTCGCTCAGTTAATTAAAAACCTTGTTGGTAAGTAGGACAGATGCCTTCCTGAGTGACACTGCCCGCGCTCACCCTGTGAGGGACACCACCTCACCCGGAGAGCGTGTAATTAGTACCTGCCAGCGAACTGGGGGAAGCGCAGAGCTTGACCGGAGCACGTCACTGTTTGGGATTCTTTAATTAAGGGACAGAAAGACAATGGGGAGGGGCTGGCTCCGTTCACAGTTGGCACCCTGCAGGTCTGAGTGGAGCGGGAGGGCCCACTGTCCCCGGGGCCTGACACGTGGTCCACAGCTACCACTGGTAGATTCCACACACTGGCCGCGGTGCGTGTGGACCCTCAGAGCAGGAGAGGGTGTTTCTGACAGAATCCAGGACGGGTTTTAAGCTCTGTTTGCAGTTCTCACCAGCCTGGCCATTGGGTGTTGGAGGTGGTGTGGACACAGGATCGCCCCAGAGAGACAGCATGCTCTGAGCCGCGGGCATCTAGGCATTTTCCACCAGCCTTGGGCTGCGGGTGCTCGCTGGCCGTGACCTTTGCCCCTGGCCCTGTGGAAGAGTGCACCAGGAGACCTGCTTCCCAGGGCGTGTCAGACATTTGAGTCCAGACACAGCCAGGTTGGACTGTGGCTGGCTGGACCTCGTAGGGTGGGGCATTCCCAAGCACCTGTCCGGACCGCACGCTTGGCTGGCCGGCTCTGCGGGGTGCACCTGCCAGCACGGAGCTGTCAGCCACCAGCCTGGACGGTTGGACGGGACAGTGGATGGCCTTCCTGAGACACTGGTGACAGCTGCCCCCGTGCAGGCCCGCTTCCCTAGCATCTCCTGCAGGGTCCATCTGCACCCCTCTAAATGGGGAAGCCTGTCTGGGGTCCCAGCTAAAGCCCTCCACCCCAGGAGGCCGGGTCTTAAGAGACGCGCGATCCCACACCCCACCTGCATCTCCCAGATCAGAATCTGCACTTTGACCAGGTCCTCAGGTGGTCCTGACGTTTGAGAACTAGTGGCCTGAAACCCAGGGGAGCTGCGGTGTGACCCCGTGGGCGGCTGTGACACCTCACCCCAGACCACTGGCTTCAAACAGCAGATGTTCTGTCTGCTCCACATTCTGTGACCGGGGCTGGGGGTTCCTCTGCAAGACTGGCCAGGATCGCTTGCCTTGCTCTGCTGGTCAGCGGGGTGTGGGCCCAGCTAGGATGCTGGACAAGCCAGCCTTCTGTGCGGGGTCTGTGCAGCAGGGTGGCTGAACCTCGCTGGGTGGCTCCTGCAGGGCATGGGTGGCCGGGCCTCTGTAAGGCGTCCGCCCGCAGCCAGCCCACTCACCCCCCTGCACTCTGCCGGGTAGACAGGGTGCGGATGGCCTGGCTGCCGGCCTTGATGCCCTCAGGGTGTGAGTGCCGGAGTGGCCATCAGGGCATCAGGACCACAGACCACTTCATGGGCTGTATTGGCCGAGGGTGGGGATCTGCGTGGGGCCCGCCCCCTCATCCCCCCCCCCCGGGGTGGCCCAGACCTGTG